GGGGGGGGAAGAGCAGTGAATGAGTTGCAACCGTTAGAGCAACTCTGTGAACGCTTATAAAATACAGTAAAAGATTAGTTTCTGTTTCGCTAGCTATGAGCTAAATAGGAAAATCCTGACTGTTTTTTAAAATCCACTGTATCCTTGAGATTAGTTTTGATCTGTCAAAGTTTCCTTAACTATGGTTTCAGTCTAGATATCTAGCAAGGCATAGTTTTCACTTTCACTTTCACACCGACCGCCCTGGGAAGCCCGACAGCTAAGCTTCGCGGAGCTCTCTATCGATCGTAAACGTCACGAACGAAGCGACAACGTTGCTGACTAAGTTTCTATTTTTAGCTCAGTTTTCCTTCGTCAGGCAAACGATCGGGTTTTCCCTGCAACGATTTTAACGGTACGCTCATGTACGAGAAACGCTTTAACGTTCACAGTACGAACTGCAACGTCGGCTTGTCAGGGTTAATTATAGATCATTAGTATAACTTCAGGACTATATAAGCTGAAAGCGGCAAGCCAGCATTTATTATCTGAATCGCTTTCATACAGAGAGGAGTTACTACACTGAGGGGAGGACACGTCTGATAGATTCACTGTAAAGGTGAAAATACATGTGTGCAAGGCTTATGTAAACAACATAGCTTTTACATCGCCTTGTGAAAATGCATCTGTTGTAAGTGATTGTTCTCTTAGTTTGATTATTTTTCTGCTTTCGCACTTTGAAAACATTTTAAGAAGAAGAAATTGTAACTGGCTGAAGTGCCCCATTCCTTATTCTGGTACTATTTGACGTTTTATTGTAAGTTTATAACTCGAATGATGCCTCCCTGCGCTTCGGAAAACTCATCTGTCGCTAAATTTTCTTGCAGACTACAGGCCACGAACATGCCAGAGAGCCCATCAGCTGACCACCAGTTGGTGTCGTCCCGGCGTCCAGGCCTGGCTAGAGCAGCCTCTATCCCTGGGATTACTTCCTTCGCTCGCAACAACCGCTTCCTTGGTGTCCGGCACCAGCCTTACAGCACCCGCTCGTCCAGGCGAAGCGCTCGGGAGGTCAGAGGTGAGAATGTTTGGCGAGCAGCAAACAGTCGTGTCACCAAGAAACCCAAAGTGAGGTCATTCAACGACCCAAACTACCCCAACGGTCGTAGTGACGTCATCAGAAGCTGGAGTGTCAACCACATTGCTTCAGCCCTGAAGGAGAAATTGGTGCTGCAAGTGGAAACTGAGAAAACTTCAGCGGGAGACGAGATGACGGTCCATGCGCAAACAGCTGGCTTACCTGCGAGCTGGCAAGAGAGTGAAACAAAAGAGGGCAAAGACATAGGCGCTCAGACCACAAGTGGAGAAGCAGTAGATGATGAATGGGATAACGCCACAGAATTTGGTCCCAGGGACATTCTTAGGGAAACTTCTGACAAAATTGCTCTAAAGAAAGCTCCGGGTGGTTTGAATATGTGTGACATGAACCAGGCGTCTACTAATATCGAACGCAGTCGGTCTGGGAAATATAACTGCCAACCCTCTCAAGGCAGAAACTTCCTTTCTCTGAGAACACCTCAACAGTCGCCACCGTTGCAAATGCCCACCCCTCGCATCCCGATGAACAAAGTTGGCACTGTAGACACTAATTCCCTGACTGATCTCACATCTGCATCCCGAGTTGAGAGGGAGGTGCCAGATAGGTATATCGCAATGAACAAAGACATTGATGATGATCCCAATATGGACGTTGGGTTTTTCGGTGACGATGAGAATGTTGAAGACGAAATCTCAATTTGTGTTCCAAGTTTTGGGGATGAATTTCCGGACGAACTACGAAAACGCAGAACGCGATCATTGAAGTCAAAACTTCAGGCAAGGCGATGCACTCAGAGAAGACACAGGTCCGAACATGTACAGCCCACGGCCTCGTTTCTCTCCTCTGAGGGTGAAGACGAAGAGGAAGCCAGCCCTGCTATAACAGCTTTGAGGAAACAGGACACGCTTAAGCTCGAGGACCATGATGACAACGCAAGTGAAGCCGAGTTGGAGAGAGCAGTTGCTGCACCTCGTACTCTGTCTCGCGTAATTGCTGACATCGACAATGACCTGTTTCTGGATTTGTACGTCTCTTCAGATGACGACGAGACTGAAGGGCTACTTTCTTGCAGCAGCAATAGTAATGGAGATTGTGGAGACTCACAAACTCTTCCCCTCCCTTCCTGCACGAACGAGTACCGAGGACTGATACCTTTACGCGAAGACTTCTGTTGTGCCGTGTGCGGAGCTATGCTGGAGTCGCTCCCGTTGTTCAGTGTCCACGACATCCTCAACCCTGTAGGGCTCACGTCTCATGCTCTACAAGAGAACGTGACAGACAATGATCTGTTTTGTCCACAGTGTGACTGTGGTCGGTGCGTGTTTAACTCCCACAACTTGATGGACACCAGGGGACATTCAGCGGTACATTATTTGAGCTGATGGTGAGTTGTGAACACATACGGGATCAAATATTTTATTGAAAAAAGTATCAAGATATGACGGGTGTAGAGTAAGAAAAAAGGGAGAGAGAGAGAGAGAGAGAG